CTCCCGCTGGAAGGGCGAGTGAAGTGTTTGTATGGCCCTCGGTGCCGGGTTTGGGGCTTAATGAGCCGGTCTGTGTTGCAGTGCAACGAGAGATTTTGCGAATACAGATGCGGATTGTATCTTCTTGAAGCACACAGGCGCTTTGCAATGGGAGTTGGGGGCTAGAGCGGCGTATCGTGCCGGTTTACGGGCTGAGAAAGCCCCGGGGCGAAAGCGCGCCGGCGTTTCTCCGCGGTCCAGCTCACAGTCGGTGAGAGCCTGACGAGGAGCTGTGGCCCAGACGAGCCGGTGGCTGCGGTCGGGCTCAGACCCGCGGCCCCAGAGCGGGCAGGGAAGCCCGTGCTCGTGCAGGACCGGGGCGGGGGGAGCTTGCTTCCTGCCCGGCCGCTCCTTCAGCTTGGCCCTTGGACCTGCTGGCCCCTCCGGCCGGTAGTATTTCACATCCCGAAGCGCTTCGGAGAAGGTTACGGCGAGCAACACGTGCAGGAGCTGCTGGAGCTTTGTGGTGGAACTAGGTATGTTTGCTCTGAGCTAAGCAGCTTGGTGAGAACCTGAACTGCCTGTTCATTAAGTAGCTATTTAATGTATTGTCTGCGTTGTTCCTTAAACTGGGCATGGTTGCAGACTCTGCTAGCGTAATCAAACTGAAAACGTTAATTGCAGTTTGTATGATGAGTGCTGCTGACACATGCCACAACTCGGGAATACTCTTTCGGAGAGTAAAGCTGGAGTCAGTCTAACACTGCACACCTCGAAGCATGTCTGCTTAGGTGGCATTTACACCTCTAGTGTCAGTGAAATGCAGAGTTACAACACAGACACAAACCTCTAAAAATGCCGTCTTTGTGGTACTGACTTAGGTGAGGCATTGTGATATGCTGCCTTTTGTTTCTTTTCTCCTCTTTCTCTCTGAAAGGAGGTTGTAGAGAAGGGGGGGTTGGTCTCTTCTCCCAAGGAACAAGTGATAGGACAAGGGGAAATGGCCTCAAGTTGCACCAGGGGAAGTTTAGATTAGATATTAGGGAAAACTTCCCTAAAAGGGTTGTTGAGGCCTGGCCAAGTCTGCCCAGAGCAGTGGTGGACTCCCCACCCTGAAGGGATTTAAAAGCCTTGTAGATGTGGTGCTTAAGGGCATGGTTTAGTGGTGACCTGGCATTGCTGAGTTAACAGTTGGACTTGATGATCTTAAAGGTCTCTTCCAACAAGAATGAGTCTATGATTCCATGAAGACTGGCGTGATGCTGTTGTCCTACATGCTTGTGCTTCCATTTGAGTTGGAAGTGCCTGATCAAAAATGCTCTTGCAGCCACAAAACCCCAAACATTTGCCTAGCTTCTGAAGTTAACCTGAACACTGGATAATTCTCAGAGGAAAATGGGTTTCCTGATGTAGTACTTTAAAAGGCCAACTTGCAGAAAACAGTCATGTGGGATGCAAAAAATACTCCAAGCACCAAGCCAATATTCTTGCACAGGATGTGAAATGTCAGGCTTCTTCACCTGGCATAGCTTAGTCTTACCCAAAGAAGAATCTTCACCTAAAAGATTGTTTTCTGTCTATGAGCTTCCAAGAGTGGTATTTGATTTGTTTGCTGATATGAAGCAAAGCTGGCTTTTTGCTGCAGACTTGCAATTACCAATCTCTAACATGAGCAGTAGCAGGTTTAAGTTTACAATTAGCAGCAGTATTTTCCAGAAAAAAAGCTCAGTGACAAGATCAAGGATGTTCTTTCACAGTTTCTATCATCTGTAGTGCAGTTTGCTTCAAAGAGCTCTCTCTTCCTCAGTCCTGTGTTTCTACTTGTATTGGCTCAAACGGCTGTCTGGTCAACATCAATTTATTTTTGGTTAGATATAGTATTTGTTTGGAACAAATACCTGCTGGCTATATGTGGGCCAGAGGCAAGGTATAGGAAGGTTTAAAGAGAATTATGGTCTGCTCTTCATCTTAATGTCATCATCTTGGATCAAGGGTGAGTTCTTGGCACTGAACTCTGTGTCTTTCAAGCTTATGGTTCCTAGAGTCTAACTACTAATCTGGTGAAAAATGTTTCAAGCTGTCATAGGCAGTGTAAGTTGGGTCTGGTCCCTCCTTATGGTGAAACAATTTCTTATTCCCTTAAGCATCTGATACAGTAATACAGGAGATGGTCGGGCACTTGTTACACCTGGGAAAGCTCAGTGAAGGTAACAGCTGTGATCCAGCTAAGGACTAGGCACAAACATGGAAAAGTTTACTTGTACATTGCTCCCCCACACTATTAGTTGTATCTGCAGTGTGCTGGCTGTGAACAGCTTCTGTGGAGCTGTTTCTTGTAGATGTGGTCACTTCCTCAGTGATATGACAGGGTGGTGTGAGAGTCACTGCAGCAGCTCCATGCTCTGCAGGAATTTGTCAGGGAGTAGGCAGTCTTGGTGACAGACTGAACTTGCCTGAGGTGTCTTTCTGTCAGTGCTTTTGAAGGAACATTTCTGGAAAAGAAGTTTTGTGGTGGTTTGTCTCTTTTTTTGAAAAAAACAAAAAAAACCCAACAACAACAACAAAAAAAACCCAAACCAACACCCAAAACATGTATGTTACTGGAAGGCCCTTAAGTGCTGCAGTTCAAGCTTAATCCTGAGTTACTGTTAAAAGCAGATACTTAACCTGTTTCTTTTCTGTTTCTAGCCAAGTCACGAATGTCTGTTTAGAATGTCCAGGCGTGCACAGCAACTTAGAGACCATGATATAAATCCATGTGTAGCGGTAAGATCAAATTGGGATTTCTGGTTTTGTTTCAATGTTGAATAATGCAAATTTCCAGAGGATTATTTGATGGAGGGTGCTCTTGCCCTGGCATTTTGTGTTAAAACTTTTTTAAGAGTCTGAAGATAGGAAAGGCTGAAAATTATCACTTAATACAAGTGTGAAATAACAGTGAGTAATTCCTTGTAAACAGGAGTAATACAACTGATAGCAATCGCTTCGATTTTCTGCCCCTAGAACAAGTCTGAAATCCTGGTTAGACAAGCTTGGGTGACGTAAAGTCTTATGAGTTATACCAAGCATCTTTGTAAACAACTATTCTGTGGACTCTCCTTACTATTTAGAGAGTACTGACCATGGAATTACTGATTATCTGTTGTGATAGGTGTTCCTCTGCTCTCTTTGATAGTACTCTTTCATCTGAGAAGCTGCTTTCTATCTTCATATATATTCTAAGACTTGTTAGAATTTGTAGACACTGACTACAGTAACTTCTCTCAGCTCTGAAGTTTGTTCTCCCTATTAAAGGAAACAGATGCCTCTACAAAATGTTTGGATGACAACAACTACAACAAGGATATGTGTACTGCTTATTTTCTGAAGTACAAAAACTGCAGAAAATTCTGGGTAAGCACAGTAGATATTCTGCATTTTACTCCATGCTTTTTGCCTATGTTACTTTCTGACAGAGACTGCTTCCTGAACTCTTCAGACTGAATTAGTGCTGACTGCTGCTGGTTTTAGGGTGACTTACAGGCCTAGGTAGTCTTGGTATGTGTTGCTGGAAGACTTAAGCAGATGCACATAAAGTGCTTCACTTCGTTCTCTGAAGTTTACCCTCTTAGACTGTGAGTCCTGCAGTACCTGTTATGTTCCCCTCTGTATTTGAATTGGGTATTGCTAGCAATAAGTTCTGGTGTAGGTGGATATCATGAAAAAAATTGGAGTTAAGATAAGCTCATCTGCTTTTCCATTGCTTTGGATCATGTTTACTTTAGCCTAAGATAAAGTTTAGGAAGAGTTCATTTTTACTTGGTGGCGTCCTTATTTCCTCTGTTAGAGAAGTATCATGAGGAACTATGGGCAGTTACTGTTCTTTATTTTCTTTCCTTATGCCATGGTAGTAAAGAATGTTTCAGTTTAGCCTTTACTTGCACAAGCTACCAAGAAATTGTTTACAGACACTTGCACGTTGGTCTGACGTAGTGTAGTGGGAATACTGTAGTGTCTCACTTTTCTGAAGCAGGAAGGTAAACTGTGGGATATCTTCAATTAAATACTAGTGCATTTAGTTATCAGCTTATCCAACTTGGAGTATCTTGCTCTTGATATATGAAGAGTACTTCTATTAAAGATTCCTAGTCATTCAGAGCTCAGAGGCAGAGACTTCTGAGTAATCTGTGTTCTCATGGTGACTTTCTTCTATTTTCAGCATGACATTATGATGCAAAGGAGAAGAAATGGTGTGAAACCAGAGATGCCCTCAGCAGAAGAGAGGAAGATGATGTTGGAATCAATGGGGAGGCCCTACTGACTAGAAACTTGCACTGGCTGACTGTTTCCACTGTACATATGAAGACTTACCAGTAGCACATTACCATTTTATGAACTGGATTTTACAGTTGCTTTATCTTGGATTAAAATAACATCTCAAGCTTTGAAACGTGTGAGATTTCTAGGATAGAACTTCTTGGTTTTATTCATGCTCTCTGTCATGGCATCTTGGATTCTTGCTGGAAGATGTGGGTACCAATGCAATTTATGTCTAGAGGCTTTGGGAGTAGAAACTAAGTTGCTGTGAAATGCTAAATAGACAACGAGGCTCACAAAGTCTGAAAAGGGGGGGCTCATGAGTGTTGCGGTGTAGTTGTAAGGATGGAGCAGGTTGAGCACAGCATTTCCTGCATCCACCTGTTGTGCCTGATAGTGTGGAGTCACCAGGTGTGATCTTACCGCTGTTTTCACGAGTTGTTCTGGTTTAAACAAGACTGTTCATCAACTCAAATCCCTAATCCAACAGGCTTGTCAGTTGGTCTGCCACTGCACTCATGGGTGGCAGCAGAAGGTTGCAGTAAATGAAATCTGCAAGCTTTGCTTGTTACAAGGTTAAAGAGGTTGGTGAAAGCACTGAGCTCCTGGGGTCTGAACTGAATAGTACCTTCTGTGGATAGTAAATAGATACTTTGCTGGCAGGCAGGCTTGGGGATGTTGACTTGTAGACATGTAAACATATACTCTGAGTGACAGGGCAGGTTTAACTATAGTACATCTGTCTAAGACTCTCTGGACAGCTGAAGCCCTGGGTTTGGAAATGCTTACTCATACGAGACTGCAAAGCTCAGTTTGAACATGTCAATCTTAAGTAGGATTGATTCCTTGACTAAACTAAACTACTAATAAGTGTAAACAGGTTGCTGTCTAGTGGAAACACTGTTTTCTTACCTCTACTACCTCCTGGTGTCCTGAATTAAAAGCTTGCACCCTGTGGTAAAATAGCAAAACCACTGTCACGAGCTCAAGTTCCATGTGAAATCCTCTAGGACTTGCTGTGATCCAGTTGGCAGAACTCTGGCTGACCTCATGGAGGATGGTATAAGTGTTGTCTCTCTATTTAGACTGTTCTGGAAAGACTTCATGGCTTCCTGTTTCTCCTTCTGTCTGGCTTGGCTTGTCTCTTTCCACAGGAGGCCTATTTCTGTGCATAGTGGGATTTTTATGATGTTTCCATCTTCCCCCTTGTTATTTGACCTGAGTAGTAACTAGCGGAGATCTGCTTTTCCTCCTCCTTTCTGTCTGTTCTCCTTGCACATATGAGTTTGAAATGGATGGATCCCACCCTCTCCTTCCTGGAACGAGTGTGTAACTCCACACCTTCTGAGCATGCCGTTCACTGAGTGTAGCTGTGCAGCCTCCAAGCCATGTCACCAGTTCTTGAGTCAGATCCTGGCACGGGAAGTAGGCTTCCTTCAATTGCCATCATCAGATTCTTTAATTATTTTATCTGCACATAAAATTCAAACTTTTCTGACATTTTGTTGCTGCTGTGTGGAACAGAAGAAATTTGTTACAGATTTTCTTGCACACCACCTCCTTGCCACCTTCTTCCAATACCCTCCTACATACCAGGATTTTTGCACATTTAGCACTATATTTTAAATCTATTTGAGCATTTTGGTCTGTTCTCATTCCAACTTTTTTTAGTACCTTTGTTCCGTCTCTGATTTAATAATGTAGTCCTGCAGTGACATTCTAACACAGCTCCTCTTGAAGGTCTTGTGTTCTCTGTTCTCTCTGTGTTAGTGAGAGGAGAACTTCTTGGTTTCATTAGTCAAACTTGGTTGTAATTCTTCCTCACTGGCCACACCTCTGTTTGATCTTCCTGTGCCTCAAGGGGAGCTGATGGTCCCCTTAGGGCACTGTCCCTCTGGACTCTTCTGGTTTTGTTGCCATGCTTGTATAAGGGCACCTTGTCGCCCAGTTGGCACTTCTGCTGTATCTTTGGGCATGTTCTTTGCTACTGTGGCTTTAGCCACTCTTCTAGTACTTGCTATATTCTTGTTGCTGTGCTCTTGTGTTCTGGGATTACATTAATATGTAATGTGTAATTTAGTTCTATGCAAGGGAAAACAGCATCTCCTCTTGAACTGGTTTTGCCGATTCTTCCTTGCATAAGCTCAAGTTCCTCATTTTTTTTTTCTAGGTTTCCTTTTCAAGCTTTCTTTTTAGTGTAGAAATGCCTTTTCTCCTCAGTGAATTGTTGCATTTACTTTTTTTTTTTTTCCCAGTCACTATTTACTTGGAAAGTTTCCACTATTTCAAAAATTATTTTGAATGATGACTGACTTTTCTTCAGACTTTAAGTAACCTGTTCTGCTTTGTAAAGTGTTTGTAAAGAACTAAGGATGGACTTAGGAGACATGTGCCCTGCTTTCAAGTATCAAGGTGGGAATGTGGGATTACAGACCAGGCTGAGGCATGTGCAGTGCAGGAGCAGCATTTGAATATTAGATTTCCCAATCCTCACTGGGTACCCAGGGTAAGCTCCCTGTGGGTGTTAGGACAAAACTGAGTTTGGTGAAGAACTGAGGGCAACTTAAGCAGCGACCTCATGGGTTTAATTCATGTAATCAGTCATCTGTTTTAGGGAGTGTCATTTGTTTCCATTGCACATGCCTTATAGTTGCTGTTAAATAACCAAACTTCATGAATAATCTTGGAAAGAAAAGTTTTCTTCGTGTCACAATACATCTTGAGTAATCCATGAGTTAGGGCTGAGTTTTCATAATTTTACCCCCTCACCGGAGGTTGCTGTTCTTTCACTGCTGAAGTTTGGGAGCTGGTAAGTAGTTGTGATAGCTAGAACATAGGCTCTTATGTTTGAAATGGTTGAATTTTTTCCATTAAGTTTTGTAGTGTGATTAACTGTTTTTGGTTGTGAGCCAAAGATAATGGTCTCTTCCTCATACCTGAGAGCTTACATTCCACACTCCTCCGAAACCCTGAGGGAAGCTGTAGCCTGCTGGTCTCAACTGGGCAGAAATAAACTGGGCTGAATTCTTTATTTTGCTGAAGCATGCTCCTGTGTACTAACCCAGAAAGCAACACAATGGATAGATACAATTAATTCATAAGGAGGGAAGAGACCTGTGGGTTTGGTTTTGTTTAATAGCTGTAATTCTTCATTTTGCTTGTACATGGACCAAATCTGCATAGTGGCATTAATGTTCCTTTTTTATTTTGTTTGACAGCTGGATGGTGCTGTTGCACAACAGACTGTATGAAAACAGACTCACTCCACCCACTACTGGCTCTTCTGTGCTTATTTTTAGCCTCTTCTCACTGATAGCAGAATTCATGCAGCACAAAGGGAAGACTGGTACTGTATCTACACTATAAACAGAGGAGGATAATAAGAGTTTACATTCCTGGTGGAAAGTAAGTTTTCTATGCAGCCTGAGAAGCTTTGGAATATGGTCCTTGATATTTTTCACTGTGCACTGAGTAGCAGCTACAGGCTGCCAGGCCCAGGTGAACATCCAGACTCCCACCTGTACCATCACATCTTTCCCATTATGAGTTACCAAGGGTGTGCGTGTAAGGGAGGTTTCCCAAAAACTCCCTTGGAACAGACGGGATGAATTTGGAGTAGACAATGTTACTCTGCCCTAACGCTTTTGGAGGCAGCCAAACTCATGCTAAAAGTATCTGCATTGTTACAATCAGTCTTCTAAAATAGCTATAAAAAAAGTAATAGTAGTTTGAACAAAACTGGGAAAACAGTACGCTCTTACAGGCTTTTATCCTCTTGCAAGATTTTGAGGAAACTGGAGGAAATAGTACTAAAGTAGTAGAAAGCAAAACCAGCATTCTGCTTCAGAGGCCTTTAAATTTCTGTTGTAGCCTCTTTGATAGGAAATGTAAGAGGGAAGTGCTGCATTTATATGGACTAAATGCAGTGGGTCATTAACGTATAACCTTAGTGTGTTTTATGTATGTAGTAACTAAGACTCATCAGGTTTTGAATAAGTAATTCATCTCTGTCCTTTCTATCTTGATGCCTCCTGTCTCAAAATAGTTTTCTGAGGATTTTCAGTTTTAAGGTCTTCAGACGTAAGGATCCTCAGATCACACAATTAGTGCCCTTTCAACAATTCAGCTGCTAAACTGAATGCAGCCGACCTGAAATTTCTTTGGAAATCTCCTGTCTGTCCCTTCAGCATCTCTTCTGATTAGCTCCTGTTTTCCTCACACAGATCCTATATTCCACCTGCTGGACACTGTCATATATGTTATTCTTTTTGTTTTTGTTTTCCCCTGAGGTGCAATACTGTTTTGTCTCTGGATTTTCATACTGCCTTCTTGCTTTTATCAATTATACTGCTCCCTACCCTGATGTGTCACTGTGATGAGCATCCATGCCTCAGGTTTGAAGTTCATTTTGAAGGTTTCATTCTACAGCTTTATCATCCCTGATTGCTTTTTGCCTTGTTGTCTCCTTCATGAGCTGATTTCCATTAGCTCTGGCTGGAATATCTTCTCTGCTCATGTTATACAAGTGTTGAGGTTTTTTTCACTGTGTTTTTTTATGACAATCTTTTTCCTTCAACCCAAAAATGTAGTTCTGTAGCTAATTTCCTGTGATTTTAAAAAAAAAAATAGCTACTCCAGTAGCAAACTCCTGAGACTACATGTGTACCTATTTAATGTAGATGCTAATTACGTACCTAGTGAAAGCACATCTTTTTTTTTTTTTTAATTTTTCGTAGCCCTTTCTCAAAAAAGCTTTCTAGTCTTACTTGGAGTGGTGCATCATGCTTAATTTAGGCTGTCAGCTCCTTGAGCAGAAACCTGCCATTTCTTATGAGTCTGTATTGGCACTGGGGAAACAGTAGCAATAACACTGGAGTTCCTTAGCCTGAGAGCTTTCTGACACCCAAGTGGTGTGGCAGACTGCCTAATTATTACTAGCAGGTCTTCCCTTGAAAAATCTCTTCTGAGGAGAGAGATGAGGGCCCTTGAATATGAAACGCCTCT